TACACCATAAAATAATAATTTTAAAGTGTTTTCATAAATTTTGGATAAAATTACATAAAATTAATTTTTAAAATATTATAATATTATTTCTCAATTTTAATATTTTATATTATTTACAACATTAAATATAAAAGAATATCATAATTAAATATATAGCGTAATTTTGTATTTTGTAAAGTTAGAAAATAATACATTTTTACGTAAGTCCTAAATTATTAAGTATTTGAATTTAAAATACTTGAAAATTAATAAACGTGAGATACTGACTCTATAAATATAAATATAATCACAATACAATAAAAATTGTTTTATTTAAAAAACAAATGAATAAAATATATGAAGTTATAAATAATATTAGTTTTTATACATGAATATTTTTGAAAGTATAATTAAAAATATCTTTTTGACAAATTTAGTGTAAAATACGGGCACCATTTTAATTAATTATCAATTTGTTAGTTATTTATTATAGTTGCATATTCATCATACATAACTTCACAAAATTAAAATGTAAACTATTTTAAGTTTAATTGAACAAATATTAACATATTTAAATATCCGTGTAGTACAGAGTATTATATTAGTGTATTTTTTTTCCGAAACGTTAGAGTATTATATTAGTGTTATAAAATAACATTATCATTTTGTTCTAAAATAATATAATTGTGGCTAATACTTATATTTAAGTATTTGTTTACACTACATGTTATAATTATAAGTTTTGCATGATGTAATTATTAATAATGTTTATACGTATAATTTGATTTTTTTTTTCACTCCTATCGTTATGGGACTGATTGGATATGTAATATTCAAGTATGACTGATTATATAATTTTTTTAACTCAAAATTTAACTTAAATTTAATTTAACCTAACTATTATCAATATTATCAGTCTAATTAAATGATATCAACTAATTTTTCTCATGACATTAATTCTAATTCACTATTCATCCACTAAAATTTTCTTCACTTTAGTCACTTATCTGTTACATTTATATCACATTAACTTTAATAATTATATTTGAAATATTATTTTGATACAAACTCAAAATACCATCCAACCAAATTCAATCAATTTTTTTTTTTTTTCAGAATTAATTCACTTTATTGTATCCAATTAAACTTAATATAATATACTGTAAACCGAAACATTTTCGTTGACCATGGTAATGCAGAAGGTAGCTAAAGATAAGGATGTTAGGATAAAGATGAATCTTTTTTCAACATGTTTGGATTTAAGTTTTTTACAAAAAATTCAAATCTGTTTGGGCGGAGTTTTGAAAATTTTCAAAATAATTTACTATGTATAGTAATATATTTAGGTGGGAATTTAGATGTTTTTTTAGTTACTATTTTTGAATTATTTAGGTTGTCTCTTTATATAATAATAGATAAGTAGAAATGATAATATATAATGATTTACAAGCATACAATGTTTAGAGCAAAAAGAATCTTCTATTGAAATTACACTGAAATGTGCATTAAATAGTACTTCCATGATTTTAAAAAACTGCATCAAACAAACACTCAATTTAATCAGTGATAAATTAATTAATTATCTATGTAAATATAAGGATGACTCAACTATAGAACTAAATGTTGGCTTCATAGCAAAATCGGTTAGCCATCGGTACCATTCATTGTTGTATCTTTCTTGAGGGGGAAGTTGCCACTTGGTCAATTAATACTCCTTCAAATAACAAATTTATCATAACTGATGCTGTTAAACTGTCTAGTGATCATACAATTATATATTATAAACTAAAAGTACATACTTTTTACTTATATTGTCTTTAAAATATCATATTTAAAACAAAACATACTAATATATTAATACTATGACCTTCTAATCAGTAATTAGTTTATTATTTGCGCAAATTTATTGCATGATTTAAAATGATCACAGTAAAAGTCCCACGGACTGTCAGAGATGGAGGTCCTCTTGGTTCAAACTTGGCCACATAGTAGCCGTAACCAAGATCAATAAATCAACGTCCCCCATGAGGTTCCACATTTCATGTAACACGAAATGTGAGAGTGTTGAAATTGATAGTTTTGTCTTGGAGCTTAATAATAGTAGAGCGCCATGATGCACGAAGGAACTTTCCATTACGTATTTCGAGTATTTGAATAGTACTCGGAACTGGGAACAAGGAATCCTACTCCCTCGCGATCTCTAGAAGGCATCCCTCTTCTCCCTAGCGCCTTACAAATATCTTCCCGAAACTTGACTCACTCTATATTTAGAAACAAAACTGTGGTTATCTATGATGCCATTAACGTCGCTCATCCACGGAATATTTATTCTCGAGAGGCTTAGGCTTCCTCCTTTCTTTCGTGCCATGAAAAAAAAATAGTGATCACCACATTTTTAGGTGAGTATCAAGTTCTTACTTGTTTTTGGACAAACTATTTATAATAATAAAGTATATTATGTAGAAAGGCTACATTACATATTTTTTTTAATAAAAAAAATTACAATAAAGAATAGATTTTTTCACCACCAATAAAATAAATACCAAATAGAGACACAAGTTATAATTGCACTACTATTTATTTATGGGATTTTACCTCCAAATATAAAATAAATCCACACCTAAAAATAAAAAAAAAGGTAAAAAAATCCAAACCCATAAAAAAAAAGGCAATAAAAGAGCAGCAGCCCGACATAAGCGGTGTCGAGATTCGAGATTAACCAGAGGCCCCAAAGAGAGCGAAAGGGGGAAAAAAATGGCCAAAAAAGTGAGAAAAACATAGTAAAGAACGCAAAAACATCCGGTGGTTAGAGAGAGAAAGTCGGGCTCACGTTTGTTTTGTTGGTGGTGGAGACGGTGGAGTTGCGGTGGTGCCTGCTTTTATTTTCCTCTTTAGGGAATCACATCATCACTCAGATCGGAGAAGAGAAAAAAGAAAACCCATTTGTAAGAAATCATTTTTTTTTTCACCCTTTATTTATGGGTCTTTTGAATCGGCTCTGTTTTCAATTTTGCAAGCAATTTCATGCATTTGTATTGGGTTGTTTGGTTCGATCTTCGTGTTATTTCTATGTGATGTTGGCTATGTACTGTTAAAGCTGCTTCATTTCCTGTTTGTTTTAAGTTTTTTTTTTTTTT